ACCCCACCCTGCCCAACCCCTTTCCTTGGCCGAAATCCAATCCAATCCAATCCAATTGATTACAATCCACTCCAATCCAACCCACTCCAATCCAACCCAACCCAACCCAATCCAATCCAATCCAATCAAATCCAATCCAATCCAATCCAATCCAATCCAATTCAATCCTCGGGAACGCCAGGTCATTTACGTCGCCAACATGCACCTGGAGGGCCACCCCGAGCGCGGCGCAGAGCGCATGGCGCAGGCGCGCGGCGCCCTCGCCTCCCTCGCGCGCCACCAAGCCGCCCAGGGGCTGCCCCCCGAGGCCTGCAGCGTGGTGGTGTGCGGCGATTTTAATGAGGGCCCCGGTAGCGGCGTCGCGCAGCTGCTGCGGCAGGGCTGGGCGGCGGCGGCCGCGCCCGGCGGCGGCGCGGGCGCAAACGTGAACGGCGGGGGCGGGGCGGCGGCGGCGCTGCTGGCGGACGAGCCGGGGGAGGCGACACAGCCCTACTTGCTGCAGGTGTGGGGGTGATTTGAGATCTGAGATCTGGCAGTGGGTCGTGATCTCGTGGGGTCGTGCGGTCTGGGTGGCCGCCCGCGGATTCTACTGCGCGCAGATTGAGGTTTGCTGGGCGCTGGTTTCCGGCACGACAGCCGGCCCGCCCTGCCCGTGCGCGCGTCGCATGTGCGAGCCGCGCCCGCGGCTGCTTGTGCGCACCCGACGCCAAACCGCGCCGCCCCCCCCCCCTCGCGCGCCGCCTCTGCCCCCGCGTCCGCGCAGGACGCTTACGCCTCGCACCCCCTGCCCTACACCCGGCGGGTGAGGCGCCGCCCGCGCTCCGCTCTTTGCGAACGGTGCAGTGGCGGCCGCCCTGCGCGGCAGCGGGCCCGGCAGGCGGACGCTCCTCTCTACGGGAAGGGCGCTCCACCGGGCGCTCCCCCCCCTCCCCCCGCGTGCCGACCGCTTTTGGGCAATCCTGGCGTCGCCCCGTCTGCCGGGACCGCCCTGCAACATCAACACAAAAAACCGCATCTTTGATGAACGACGACCGCCCCGCAACACGGCATGCAGCAAGCCGGTCCGCTCTATGGGACACGAACTGCAAACCGCCCCGCAAAATGCTGAGCGACCCGCCCCGCATCACCCCCGCTCTCCTCTCCTCTCTCCCCCCCCCCCCAAAAAAAATCAACATCACTCCAGGTGCCGTCCCTGGCGAGCAGCATCGACCAGCTGTGGGTGTCGGCGCACGCGGCGGTGACGCACGTGCTGCACGCGCAGGATGAGAAGGCGGACGCGGCCGGCATGCCCAACGAGCGGCAGGTGGGGTGGAGAGGAGGGCGTGTGTGTGTGTGTGTGTGTGTGTGTGTCTGCGCGCGTGCGTGTGTGCACACGCACACACGCTTGGTCGCGCCGGGTAGGAGTGTTTGAGGTGTTTGACCAGGGTGCTTGGCTGAGAGTCAAATGCAGCAGACGCATTCGCAGGCGCTTCCATGCGGGCGTGGCCGCTCTGCATGCACCTGGGGCAGGCACACGTGGGACGTTGTCCCATGCGCGGGCGCGCAAGCGTGGGTGCACTGCCGCGCACTTAAACGCACTCGCTTCGCAAGTTGTCCAAAATAGCCCGACAGTCGTGGCCCCTGCCCGTGCCTGTCCGACTGCCACCGCTCACCATCCGTTCGCCACACCCCGCCTCCTCCTCTCCCCCTCCTGTCCAAAACCATCGCAGCCGTCCGACCACCTGCCCCTTGGCGCCATCATCACGCTGCCTGCCGCCGCGGGGGCGTGACGACCCCAACGCTGGCATCCTGCCGTAAATGCACCTGCGGCGTGTGGATATGCTGCACTTGGCTTGCTCGACGGTGCCTCTTCCTTGGCTGGAGGCTGCCCCATTCCTGAATTTGCGGCCTGCCCTTGGGTGCACCGGCGCACGGTAGCGCGCCGCCCCCTCGCAAACCTTATTGTGTTCGCACTTTCAGAGCGAGAACGGCCGCAGACCCGGTTGAGCAGCGCTTGAGTATGTTTTGGGGGCTTTGGGTTGGTCCTCCTTCCTTCCCCTGAAGGTTGAATTTGACTTCCAAGGGCGCCCTGCGCTGCCCCAAGCCGCTTGAATCGCCAGGCCCCTGATCTTGGAAACCCCGGCTGCATCAGTGAAATAGCTTACATCCCTGCGTCAAGAGGGGCTAATCGAGCCGACACACGGCTCGCAGCCCACATCACTGCACGGCTGCATGGCTGCATTGCAAGCATACTGGATGAGCCCAACACCGCCGGCGCGAGCTGGGTCCCGACCGCCACCGCGCACGCGCGCTGTGCCGCAACGTTGTGATCGAGCGGCTGCCCCGCCGTCAATGCCGGAACGGATGTTGATGTAAGCACGGCACATTCGCGGGATCGGCTCCTTGGGTGCTGAAGGCAGCATTTGAGTGAATGAGCACCACGCTCCAGGCATCGACGCTCTCGTGTTATCTTTATGTGCGCAGCCGCCGTGCAGCTGGCAGAGTGACGGCTTATGAGTCACCGCTCTTCACCTGGGGGACTGTGACCGCCGCACGTGCGACCCTTTCCAGGAAGCTGCCAGGACGGCTCAGCCGTGCTGCCGAGGCATGCCAGCCGGCAGGCGCGCAGCCACCGCGGGCGGTGGAAAGGCTCAGTGGCGCTGTGGGTGCAGGTTTGAGAAGCCACATCTGAAGGGACCGCCTTTCGTTTTCACAGGCGAGGGGGCGAAGCGAAGCTCGGCGCTGCAGCGAGTTGGTGCTGACGGTTGCCTGGGCGTGTGGTGGGTGATGAGCCAGCTCGCTGGCGGTTAGGGGGGCCTGAGGTAGCGCAAGGCGAGGCCGAGTGACGGGTCGGTATTTGAGCTGCCGCCGGCCTGCGATTCGCCGGCGTCGCAGGCCAGGTGTGTCGCCCCGCCCGCGCCTGATGAGTAAGCCGGGTGGCAGCCACCCATCCACGGCTGCCGGCGCCTAGCACCGGCAGCAGGCTCGGCATCGCCCTGGCCGCGCGTTTTGTCACAGGTTGTGACGCAGCTCCATTCAGCCCTGGCAGCATTGGGGTGACGCCGCATCCTACTGCGAGTCGCAGCCGAGCAGCAGTTGGACCGGGTTCCTGCCGCGGCTGCGCGGTGCGCCGGGTGTGTAGGGCGCTCACGCCTCGTGCGTGAGCAAACAAAACCCCCTTGTAGGCTGTGGATACCCACTGGGCTCAGCGCCGGCGAGCCGGCCCGATGTCGGCGCATGTGCTCGTGGTGGCCCCGGCAGGCGCGATGCGCGCGGCTGACGCCCATTGTAGTGATTTCCGGCACCCGTGCGGTGGTCGGGCAGTGCCGCCGCGCGTGCGCCGCTCGACAAGGGGTATGGGCCACAGCTGTTGCAAGTGAAGGACTCTGGAGGGCTAATATCACAATCTGCAGCCACCGCGGCCCCCTAGGGCCCGAGCTGACCAAATTCTCTGGTGTGCGCGACTACGGCGACGGCGTTGCGCCGGTGACACTTGGGTGGCGGGCGGCCGGCCGGTGTACCAATGACGCATGATGCCCCGTCTGGCTGAAAACATCCTGTGGAACCACGCCTCGTCGTGGTCAGCTGTACGTTCGTCACCAGCAGGGCCAAAGCGACGCACTTGCTGGAGCTTCTTCCTCAAGAGTGACGGGTGGTCACCGATGCTGTCTTCTCACAACGGCCTCCTTGCGCGCCAAGCAGACAACATCAAAGTCTCTTGGGGATGCTCTAGTACCGTATGTTCAGAGGGCGCGGCCAATTAGCAAACACGCCTCACACCCTCAGCGTCGCCGCGTGGCCCGACCTGCACCCGGGCTTGGTTTACTCGCGATTTGATCATGAACTACGATGGCAGAGGCATGTGCCTGATGCAGACCTTGCAGGTGGACACGCGTAGCACACAACAGTCAGTGTGGTCTGGATCACGTCTGTGTTGCCGTAGCACACGGTCTCCTAGCCCCTAGGAATTCCTATAGAACCCCGTAGCCCGCTCCTTGGACACGTGAAACACCGAGGAGTTGTGCCAGGCAGAGTAAGCTTGGGCTGTGGGGACCTGCGCTTGGTACATGGTGCCATAGCACCAGGATCCTAGCATCCTTGTGGTTTTGATTTCATGGCCTTTTACAGCGCATGCCCGCGATCCTCGAGCCCCAGGGCATCAGGCGCCGCACTCATCATACGCTGTGTCGACTTGCTCCCCGGATGATGCTCGGCCGCCGACGCGCACGCCACCCACAGGCCCAACCCCTGGCCAGCGCGCCCCCCCAGCGGCGGGAGGCCGTGCGCGCGCACACACTCGCGCAGCTATGGCGGCGGCCGCGTGGCGCGGCGCGCTGGCGCAGCTTGAATCGCTCGACTTCAGCGGCGCGGGCGCGCACGCCGACGCGCGCGC